GAGAGAGAGAGAGAGAGAGAGAGAGAGAGAGAGAGAGGCACGGCGGCTGCAGTTGGCGATGCGTCGCACTCTGCGTCAACGCTGCGGGCACGGCCCCAACCTCACCTCGCTGACCAACCAAGCCAACCGCAGTGAGCGCCTCCGCAAGTGGGGTAGCGTGGGGACTCCGCCGGGGGTTCCCCGTATCCCACGACTGGAGGCGAAGTCTATCGCCATCCTGCACGAGTCGCCCAAAGTAATGTTGGCTGGACGGAACCACTGCAACAACTTTGACAGCAATCAGTACATGCTGATCAATAGGGCCACAAAGCACTGCATGCTCATCGACGCCGCGGACGACTGGCCTGATGACTGGGCCGCCTTCATAGCCTCCTCATCTCTCACTCTGACGCACATTTTTCTTACCCACTGCCATATTGATAACATCATCAACTTGAACGCCTTTCTGAGCATCTGCGGACGCCAGCAGCAGCAGCGGCGGCGGCGACAGCAAGCTGGGGACGACGAGGGAGAGGTGGATTTGGAGCAAACGGAGAGTGACGGTAGTGAGGCGATTGCTCTCATGTGGTGCCCCGCTGAGGAGTGTTGGGTGCAGAATTTCGGGCGTGCCTGCGAACGCTACTGCCGCTTCGAAGAGATGCATGTGACTTTGCCCATGATGCAGCGCAACCTTTACACGCCACAGCAGATGAAGGACGCCGTGAGGTCCGGTTTTTTTGACCCGCGTACCGCTGGCCATGGTTTTTTTCGACGCAAAGACATACTTCTTTCCACCGCCACAAACCGGGCATCGTCATTCATGGACTTTGGGGATGGCGTGCTGCTGTACTACATATTCTCCCCAGGCCATTCGCCAGGTCACATGATGCTACACGTGCCCACCGAAAAGCTCCTCTTTACGGGCGATCTTTTGTTTTACAACAAAGTAGGCCGCGTGGACTTGCCGTGGGCGACGGGAACCCGCCTTGCGGAAAGCCTGCGTCTGTTTGAGGCCATGCCGGACAACACCGTCGTGTTGCCTGGTCACGGACGCATGACGACGCTGGGAAGGGAGCGCTGCGAGAACAAGGCGCTCCAGCAATGCTACCAGAGGCAGGATATTGGGAAGCAGGAGGTTTCTATTGGATTCAATGGGGGGTACCTTTAATTTGCTTCGGGCAGGCAAAGTCCTTCGCGCGTTTTTTTTCACTCTTGCTTTCCCCCCCCCCCCCCCCCCTACTATCGCCATCCCTATGCACGGTTTGCTTCTTCTGATGTCTCCCGTTGGGGTGCTCCAACGCATTGCTCTTTATTCCTTAGCGGCCTCCCTGTGGGCGAAGGGTGCGGCGGCAATGGCAGAGCACTAAGAGAGACAAATAAAAAAAGAAAAATCTAAAGGAAAACAGCAGCAACAAAATGCTTCCCTTTTAAAGGGGGGCGGCGGGGAACGGCGCGTTGGCCTACGAACGCGCAAGTAAATGACGCGTGAGAGTGTCGTGCGGAGCGAGTGTGCGGTGTGAGTGACAGTGGGTCGGCGTCCAGACGCGCCCGCCAGGGTATCGTCGCACTCGTCCACCATGGCGGGTGGCGGCGGCGACGGTGGCGCGCGCACGAATGGGCTGGCAGTCGCCCAAGGGCTGCCCGGTGACCGTGGCAAAGGGGCTCCCTGCGTCGTGCGAACCTGCGCCCGCCCCGCGTCGGGGGCCCCAAAGCTCTGCTGGGGCTTCCCACGCACGGGCGGGTTTTTTTCCACACCCCTAGCTGCAGCATGGCGCGGCGGCCGGTTAAAAGTAATGGAGGTAAAAAAAAAAAAAAAGAAGAAGAGCGCCTGCAGCGATGGCGCTTTGCTGGTGGGGTTTCTTGCGGGCCGCGCGCCTGCCACGCCAAACGGCCCGCGGGGCGGTCGCAAAACCGTCGGAATCGCCCCCCACCCCACCCCTCCCCCCGCCGATGGAATGGCGCGGGGGGTCTCGGCGCGCCGCGGCCGGGCCGGACAGGTTTTTATCCGGCTGCAGCCCAGCAGTGGCCCCGCCCAGACCCCACAAATAGCAAATCCTATTGGTATGGAGCCTGCACCCCTTCAACGGTTGCCTCGTTACTGTTTTGTTTTCACCAAGAGTGCGGAGATGCCCGGTGTTGTCGCGGCTGGGGTGCCTTCTTCCGCGCTGGGTGGTTGGGGCCGGTTGGGCGGCTTCTCTTTCCCGAGTGGGGAAGCAAGAACTTGCATTTGCCTTTTTTTTTTTCTGAGAAAAAAAGCGATCCTTCTGGGACCGGTCTCCTGCCGTTCATCGAAACGCTCTCCGGGCGGAGCCAGCAACCGTCATCATCAGGATTTGAAACTCGGTTTCTTTTCAATTAAGAGGTTGTACTCATAAAACGATTCTGTTCAGAGTACGGTCTTGATTTTGGCTATGATATACAATCTAGGAGTTGATAGAAGTGTGATGGTGCTGCAGTAAGCTTTATTTGTTCTGCCTTGTTTATTCTGCGCGCATCAACAGTCCGTGTGGCTCAATGGAAG